TACACTGTACAAGATATTCTCTTTTAATTATATAAAACTTTAAAAAAAAATTTGGTATTCTTAATGGTGATCAATGTAGAAGGGCTAACATTGGAACAATCAATTCATTGTGATTTTTCACATTTCCTCAAAAACCATGTCTGTTCAGTTTCAGATCCAAAACATAAACAAAGCAATTTCTAAATAATTAACAGATTTTATTTTTTTTTAATCAGACATATTTTTTAACATATATGGCTCTCAAGAAAATATTGTATTAAAAAATCAAATCCATTCTTTAGAAAATATTAATGAATACTTTTCTTTTTCTTTTTTTTAAATTCTGAGAAGACTTCTTATCTTTCCAAGAGTTGTCTTACTGAGAGTCTGTCTATATTTCTGAGATGAGGTATTATGTACAGTATTTACATTAGTCGGACTATTGTCCTCATCTTTGTCGCCATATTTGTCACAACGTTTCGGCTGTTTTATGCTCCGGCCTTCTTCAGGTGGTTGGAATTTCGAACTGAACCCTTTATTTCGATCACTGGGGTAGACTGTTCTAGTTCCACATGCCATGTTTGATGGATGTCAGTTATGCTAATTTTCCCTCTGAAAGTTCTCCACTGCCTTAACCAGGTATTGAACTCACCTTCTTTGGGTCTGTCACTGGATCTAACCAACGCCTTTATCCACTGTGCCATGTCTCCTCAAGTTGAATCCGTTACATTCACTTACATGGTAATATCCTTGGGAAAGGTATGAATCCTCTTCTTCATCCCCCAGCTATGGGTGAATAGCAAGACAGACTGGGTACTGTAGCCTTGGATGGCAACTGGTCTACTGCAGAAAGAAATGGCAATTTACTGCGGGAAAAAATCTGCCTCGTCAGTCGTGTTGAAAGATAGTGTGTATCGTGCATGGCACATAACTGACTGAATAAGACTTACACATAACAGTAAATACCTGAACAAGAGTTGATATGACATTGAATTAACCAATCTAATCCTCTTATGTTGCTACTCACATAAGAATGGTGGTATTTTCTTGGTTTGAGCACTCAGTCCTGCTAGCCAGATCTTTGACAATAGTTTCTTGTATTCAGGCTAATGACAGACAATTCTGCAAGTAATCAATATCTACATGAACATAGTATTTTTTATATTATTTATAGTACTAACCAGATTTGGTAAAAACTAATCTGTATCACTCTTCTAAAAGTAACAAAGCTTTTAAAAGAAAGTAACTGCCCCATATACAGAGTGAGTCAAAAGTTGATCACCATAGAGATAATTTATTAAAAAGTATAATTACACATGAAAATTTTATTTACTAGTTATTTAATTGTCATAATGCCTGTTCAAAATATCCTTTTTCAAAACCCATTTCAACTCTGTTCTTGTATGATTCATTAACACATTGGAAAGTTTTCTCTCTCATTTTACTGCATTCATATTTCATTCTGAATTTAAGTTCCTCGATATTTCTTCAGTTTTTCAGCCATCTTGCTTCATAAAAATAAAATATCAGAACAAATTATACATTTAAAACATGATTAATTAATTAACTCCGCTTGTGCACAACTTTTGCCTCACTGTGTGTGTGTGTGTGTGTGTGTATATATATATATATATATATATAGATAATAACATAATTTTAGGTAAGTATGATTAATTTACTGAAAAAACAGCATAGTATGATGAAAAAGGTTTATTGTCAAAATCTTAAGTGGAAAGAACAAAGTATTTTGTTACTTTATTTTTTTAATCCTTTCTAACATATTTCAAATTTTGTTTAAGAAAATCAAATTGTTGGCTTTTAATGGAACTTTCAGGATTTATTCACAAATAAATGAATTTATTTTTGAAATTATTATTTTTAGAAAATCTTGGCAAAATTTTTTTTTTTTTTTTTACATCTGTTAACCCCCTTAAGTTCATGAAATTTCTAGAAATTAGTGTCTGATTGTAAACTTTGTTTTATTAGTTAAATGCAGGATTCCTTTGAGAATGTAAATCAGTTTTTTTTTTCTTCAGTTACTGCTTTTCCAAAAATCTGCTCTGATTTGTAAAATAAAAACTGCAATAAAACTATCCAATTATTTAATTAGATAAGCTTTTAATTGCTTTTATAAATAATATATATTAAGGACATTATAGTTGAAAACAAAAAAAAAAATTTTTTTCAATGAATAATGAATTTTTACAAGAATTGTTTTCATATTTTTTTTATTATAGTAATTTATAGTTTCAAAAATCTTTTTAAAATTCTTCTAAACTTTGATTGTGTTAGTAAATATAGTCCTAAGTAAACATTGAAAAGCTTAATACAAGTCATCTCACAATTTTTTAAAACAATTTATTTTTATTTTTTTAATGTGTATAAACATGCCCATTTTGAAAGTAATGGGTATACATATCAGAAAATAAGATTGATGACTATAGTAAATTGAAAGTAAACATTCCTAAAATTAGATTACAGAGAATATTTCCAACATTTTCAGGATTACAAGTACTTATAAATTATATTTAAAAAAAAAAAATTCATCCATCATTTTCTTATGTTTTAACAGATAATGTCTCTGTAGAACAACATAAACATGTCGATATCCTTATCGGCACTTGTTAAGTGATTGATGAGATGAAAAGCACTTAATTGCTGATTGTTTGTTTTAAAAATACATTTTTGCCATTTTGAACTTAAAGTAAATATTTATTTCGAATCAGATTAATTATACTTTAAAGTTTCAGAAAAGTATATTTTACTTTTGGAAGATTTTTTTTAATAAATAAAATTACATCGCAATGATAGATGACTAAAAAAAAAAAAATGAGCATTAATCAGTTATTTTTAGTCAAAAAAAATTGATCAACTCCAATCAATATAATTTGTTTTAGATACACCCGAGTATTTTGCTTACTAGAAATAACAAATTTAATCCTTTTAGCTTTCAATGAAAGCTTTAAAATTTTAAAAATTCATTTTAAACATTAATTTTTGCAAATTAGTGGAGGTACCTAGTTTTAAGGCATGCTATATTTGAGGATTAAAGTGCTCAATAACATGGATAGAGCATATGTAAATATAAAATGGACATTGAGGTCAACACCAGCAGCAGCAGCAGTCTGTTTCATACTTCAATGTAATTGTCGTCCTATATATATATATATATATATATATATATATATATATATATATATATATATATATAAAATGGTTAAACAGTTATTGGTCAGAATTAAATGAGAACTGTGTGTGTGTGCGTGATTGCCAGAGATCAATTATGAAATCTGATTTCAAATGCCAACTTTATAGTAGCCAACTTAGACAATAAAATTATTTCAAATGTTTTGTTCATGTGTTATATTTTCAATAAATTTTTCCCATAAAAAGTTTTTAGTTGCCAGTATATTTTTTTTTATTCCTGTCTTAAATGCCAGGTACCAGTTATTTGCACTAAAAACTAAAAAAAAAAAAAAACGATTTTTGTAACCTTGATAAGTCAGCAAATGAGATATCTAGTGGTTGGTAGTCAATATGTTAAATTTCACTTTTGATACCCAAAAATAATCTTGGTGAATTGAAATAACAAATCTAAATTTATTACAACAGTCATGCATTTGATCTTATCTAGCATCTAAAATTTGTATATTCACAATATATGTCTTTCTGATTTTTTAAAGATTTTAAATCTTAGTTTTAAAGTAATTCTCTTGAAAACCATTCTGTTTTTATCATCTAATTTTTATGGGCTCATTGAAGGATTGTTAATTTCTGCCATGTTTGTAACTAACTCTTGAATACAAATAAATAATTCACCCCCTCTGCGTGCAAAAATAAAAATAAAAATAAAAACACATCTGCCTGTATTTTATAAGGACAGATACACACAGCTTTAGTATTTCTCTGTTAGATCAGTCAAGGATATGTTAGGCTCATAGGGTCGCTAAGCACATGAATGGCTCTCTGCCTTGTTTGTGTGCCAGTCAGTCTCTGAACGATCTTCCAGTCTACTATGTGATGTCAGCACATTTTTTTCTGTCTCTTTTTGCTTGAACCTTGTAGCGTGACTATGGAAAGATTGTTGGCACTTATGACATGTCCATACCATTTAGAGTTTCTCTTAATAGTTAACACAAGATCTTTCAATGAGCCTTTTTCTTGTTTGATGGTGTCTCACACTGCATCATTTGTAATGCAGTCTGAATAGGAGATGCCTAGGGATGCTTGTATTCTCTGCTGTTAATGTCCAAGATTTGCAGGCATACATAAAGATTGAAAAGGTCAATGCATGCAACAGTAAATTTGATTTCAGTTTTAGCTTTGACAACTGACACTGTTAGGTTACTGTATCTTAATTTGACCAACTTGAAATTTTTGAAGACCAAAGTTGCTTGGAAAGCAAGAACCTAGAAGAAAGTTCCACATGCAAAGTTTGAAGGCAAACTCCTGTTCATCAACAGATTTATTGGAAGCTAAGCCGGGTAAAACTTGAAGGAAAAAAAAAAATAAATACAAACTTACAAAAGAAAAGTTAAAAGGAAGTGGGGGGGGGGAAGAAATGACCCCCCCCCCAAAAAAAAAAATCCACCCCATAAACTTAACATAGCTGTGAGACTGAGGGCCTAAATGGGTAAATGAGGTAACAAGTACTTTGCTTAAAGGAATGCCTTGATCCTGTAATTTGTGTATGTTAGTTCTAGTAATTACTAAGGGCTAAACAGGAAGTGATCAAAATGGTGACTAATCTATAATGTACCTAAATTAAAAAAATACACAAACAAGAGGAAAATAAAACTATAGAGGTGTATACTGTGGTAATGGAACAGTAATATTTTACATTTTATAACATTTATTGATTGTAACACAGTATCATTTATTTTTTATTTTACATTTCTATTCAAAACTGGCTTATACATACATAGCTTTTTTGCCAGATCTAAAGTTATGTACCTATTTCAGTTTAATTTTTATCTACTCACACGATTCTTATTGTTTTTTTTTTTTTTTTCATTTCCCAGGTATAACCGCAAGGATCGGGAATTAGCAAGTGCCCAGAAGAAATTGGCCGATTTGGAGAGTTTAGTGAATGACCTTCAGGCCAAACTTGCTGATGCTGAGAATGCCAAAAAGCATCTTGAGAGTCAGAATGCTGTGAGTTTGTACAGACTTATAATGCAAAAAATATTAGCATTGATCATTTTAATCTTTACTTTAACAGACTCTTTATAAAAAAATTGATAAAACATTTAAGAATTGAAAATGTATATTTTTATTTCAAATTATGATCACATAATGTTCAAGGTAATATTTTAAATTATTAAAAACATTAACTAAGTAATTGTATTATCAATTATATTTAAGTGTCCAAGAGTTGTCAAATTGGGCTGCTTTTCATCTCTGAACTTTTTGGCCTGTTTTTTTAAAAGCTAGGCTAACTTGAGTTACTCTTAAGAAAGTAAATAGAAAATTTAGTAGCATTGGGCTAACTTTGATAAAAACTTTTATTTAATCATTTGCTTTGTAAATGTCAATTTTAATGGATATTTTAATTTTTGTAGACCCTCCATACAGATCTTGCTACTTTGGAGCGTCAACTTGCCACTGCTCGGAAGCAGTTGGAAGATGAAACACTGCTTAGGGTGGATCTGGAGAACCGTTTGCAAAGTTTCAAAGAGGATATGGCCTTCAAGTCACAAGTCTTTGAGCGGGTAAAAAAAAAAAATTATTTTAAACTCTTTGTTGATTACTTCAATTTATACACAAACAGGCACACTCCAAAACCTAGTTTATGAATTTGAAGTTTGAAATTCTAAATATTTTAAAACCCCTGCATTTAGTTCATTTTCTATTTCTTATTTTTGTCTAATGACTTTAAGTGAATGAATACTTTTAGGTATTAAAGAAAACAATCCTTCATCAGACCCTATAGACTAGCACAAAAAATCACAAAGAGCTTCACCAAATAACAAAAACCACATCACTTGAAAACTTACAACAACTGGATAGCATATGTAACTAGAAGTCAGTGGGGATGACATAATCAAGATGTTGACATTCTACACTACCTTAAACAAAAGGTTAGGAAAGAAAGTTCCATCAGTACTGGAAAGAGTGATAACACTGGATTAATTTTCTACGAAATTGTTTTAATGAAAAGATTTCATAAATTTAGACCAACAGTAACTCTTAACTGTTTGCTCAAAGAATGGTGAATGTTTCCTGTATGGAAATGGCTTATCTTGTCACTCAAAAATTGAACAAAAATAAAATTGAAAAAGAAGGAAAAGAAGTGACTGACATATTTTGATACAGTTACTGGAATATAATCTTTCCCAGTTGTGAATCCCAATTTTGGATACTGAAAATTTTGGGAAATTAAAATGCAAAATCTTTTCTTTCAAAAATGTTTACATAACTTCTCAGGAAAAAAAAAAAAAACAGAAATTGATAGGGAGGGAAAAAATGTGATTCTTTGGGTAGATATTAAGAAAGATGTGTATTGTCTGGTGAGGTGTCATGGTTAATTTGGCAGGTGACCAAACAAATCAAATTCCCAGAACTTTTGGGTAGCACCTCCATGTTTAAAGATCTGCACTTTAATAAAAGTGAAAGTATTGAATCCGTAAAACTAAGTATATTAGATACTAAGAGAAAGTGTTATAAATTGTTAAATGGGGGATTATAATGCGAGGAACCACCTACTCTCCCCTTACTATTTTCATTTATTAATTATTTTCTCTTAACATGAAATGTTTTTTTTTTTTTACACACACACACACACACACACACACACACTCTTTTCCCTCACTGGTAGCACAACTCTAAGTTTCTGTAGTAATGCAGAGCATGGCTACCTAGTATGAGTTGCTGCAACTGTAACAGGGAATCTGGTTTGAGGCTGAGAGGTGCATGTGCGCAGGGATGGTGTTCAGGGGTAAAAAATGGGCATCACACCTATGCAGATGTATGAACACTTGAAACCTACTATATAAGTGGTTACATTGCTTTCTAGGGGACAGTATTAGACAACACTTGTGGTGTGTAGTAGAAAGAGAAAGCAGTACAGGCAATATAACCAGAATACCCTCTACTAAATACAGTTTTATTCACAATGCAATCTTCCAGTGCTGGTTGATAGCTCAATGTACCAAAAAAATATATATATATATATATATATATATATATTAAAATGGACATTTAAGTCAACACCCAGTAGCAACAGTCTGTTTCATTAAGGATTAATTACTGCTACTCTGGCAATCAAAAAAATAAAGAACTCTACCACACTGACACTTAAAAACATTAAGCAACCTAGCAAAAAATAAGGAACTTTACAACACCTGACAAAGAAGGTGGAATTATTATGAATAGTAGCACATACAATAAAATTTAAAATACTACTTAATGATAGTAGCACATATTAGAAAATAGATGAAGAAAAAGTAATTAGTGACACGGAAATTTAACAGAGCAATTAGAAAATCATTAATGAAAACAAATCATGGTATAAACTAATAGAATATTACACTAGAATACTCTAACTTTATTGTCTACCTAAAACTCACAAAGCTGACATTCCAATGTGCCCCATATATTGGTTATTAGTAGCACACCCTGCAACCTGGCAAATGCCTTACAAAAAATTTTAACACCTCCTTGGGACAATCGGCTCATCACATTAAAAATTCAGGCAACACTGTTGAAAAAGTAAGGGGAAAAATATGACAGATAAACTCATGGCTAGTTTAGATGATAAATCCCCTTTAATCAAAATTCCTGTTAACAAATGATTAAAAAAAAAACTAACACAATCAAAAGTAAACCATTCCCTACCAATAGCTAAAATCATAAAAATTTACTGGCTCATCACAAACTAATACTATTTCATTTTTAACAATAGTTTTTATAAACAAAAATTTGGATTATTGATGGGTGGTATTTTAACTTTTTTTTAGAATTTATAGAATCTAGTCCTTTCCAAAGTATTTTATTAAATAATCAACATATTTCTGATATGTTGTTGATGCTTTCTTAATATATCCCTGTAAAACTACATTACCTTATAGACAAACGTATTCTAGTATTTATTTATGAAATGGAAATGAACACATTACTTTTCCTTGATATCATACTAAATGATACTGATAATGACCTAAAACTAAATTTCTATCACAAATCAACTAATAAAAATGATCTCATGAATTTCTATTTTACCATAAAACAAAATTAGGAATAATTATCTGATTCAGAGCACTCAGAATTTATAGCTCTTAATATTTACATGATGAGAAATACATTGAAAATACATTGGGGCATTGGAGAAGCTTAAAAGTATCATGAAAACAGGGTTCATTGAATATTTCAAAAAAGAATGAACCATTCAAGCAAATCCAATGTATCAAGATATATTACTTTACCTACCAACTATATCACAACTACAATTGAAAAGAATTTATTTAAGCTTAACATTTGTTACTGTTTCCTAAATAATGAAAGACATACTTAATAACAAAACAAAAGATGCTAAAACTTGGAGGAATTTAATGTATCACCTGTAATGGTTGTGACAAGAAATATGTAGGAGAAACTTTGAAGAATCTAAATAAAAGATTATATGAAATCATTATATCTTTTTAAAAAGCAACACACTCAATGTATTAGTTGCTCAGCATAATGAGTCTGGCTATAATTTCAATTTTAAAAACTGATAGTTTAATTAAGAGAAAATCATTTGTTAATGTGAAAGTGGATAGAACATGCTTTGAGTACTAGTTCACCCACAGTAAATGTGTGCTCAGATTCTTACAACCTTGCACTTTTCATAGATGTATTATCACCATGTGGGATACTTAATAAGAAGTGATAAAAATCAAAAGCATAAGGGAAATGAATTTATTTTTTAAAGTACAAATAACCAATGTATTAAGTATTCTTATTTTATTTAACATTACTATTTCTGTTAAAGGTGCCCTTGAGAAAATGCTGATGCATTCTCCTTTCTTGAACTAAAATTTACCCTCAATATAATGCTTTTTAAAGATGCACATATATCCACCACATTCTGTAGTGGTAGTCAGAGGCTATGTTCTTTTGGATCATTGCCATAGTTACTGATCAAGCAACCAATCAGAAGTTGTTCTCCCTCTCTCTCCATTTCACACTCTTCCCTGCCCCTGACTTGATTTGCTTATTAATATTCATGCTTTTGTTCTTTTTACAACTTGTTCAGCCAGTTACACTCATCAGAAATGCTCACCTAGATATTCTCATCTGACTACAAAGTCAACCGTTAGTTCTTTTGTCCTCAACACTCCTACATCAGAAAATAAATCATGCATTTTATGACCTGCAGCTGTCTTTGTTTTGCTCAAAGAAATTAATATTGCATTTTTGTCTGATCTCCATTTTCCTTTCTACAGCACACATAAATAGATAGGTTTTGAGAATTTGACTAAATAGTTTTCTATGTTTTGAATAACATATCTGAATAAATTTTGAAAAGTGTATGTTCAAAATTAACTCAAATATCAAGTGGAAACAACTGAATAAATTCTATTCAGTAGGAATAGAAAAGATAAGCCTAGCATATAGTTTGTGTACGTGTTCATTAGTGCTCCGGACTAACTTCTCTTCCCAGAATGGCACCTGTGCACCCCCCTACTTTATCAATAGTCATTAATAACATAATAAAACACATTTTTCTTTTTAAGAAATTGATTACTTGTAGGATAAACTTGATTTTAAACTAAAAAAAATGAAAAATTTGCATTGTTTAAAAAAAACAAAAAAGCATAATCAGTCATTGCAAACTAATGTTGGTTTATCATCCTTAAAATGATGTTAATCTGAAGCCTTAGTATCTGTGTGTGTATAGTTTTTGTTCTACATCTATTTTAATACCTGTTATAAAAGTAGTTTTTTCCAGATTTGTGTTGTAATTTTAGGTATATTTGGGTTTTTTTTCTTGCTCAGACAGCAAAATGTATAAATGTTTATTTTTTTATTTAGAAAGCACATTAACACACAAATTACTTCACTTTCCAGTCAATTAAATTATATTTCTTAAATTGCTAAAATTAAGGTGTTTTCTATTAAAGGTTTGAATATATATTCTTTTGTATGCAAAAGTTTTGAAGGTGGTTATCCAGTATTATGCACAAGTCTTTAGTCACTTTAAACTGTTATTTATAAAATGGGTAAGCAAAAAAATATCTACACTTTTGCCATAACATATCTTTAGGTTTGTCACACTGTTTTCTGTTCATTTGTGCTTATAGTTTGTACTATTGTGGTCACATGAAGTTTGACCTTGATTATGCCAGTTTTATTGCTGCTGTTACAATGTAAACATGGTGATTCTAGCAGTGTACACCAAGTAGCAACAAAAAGCAGTGGTCCAAATCTGCAGAGAACATGCTACCATATTATTTTATCTGAACTGGACAGTACACCATTATGAATGTCAGAAATATCTGATTCATCGTTTATTTTTTCTAGTTTTGTTCCATTTTTTTTCCTCAGATTTGGGTCAGGTTACATTGGGTTGAACATTAACAGCTAATACTTACAGGGTGGGTTTGGGTGTGTTGATTGCAATATTGTAAATTATTATGATGACATATCTGGTATTTTCAAAAAAGAAAAGAAAAAAGGCTGGAAATTTTTACTTTAAATTTTATTTTTTGGATCTTTTCTAATGATGATTTATCACTTCTCTTTGTCAGGAATTGAATGAGACTCGTACTCGTACTACAATGTCCACTGAAGAGGTTGATGGTGGCCTCAATTCGGAATATGAAGACAAACTTGCTGATGCTTTGCGGGAAATGAGAGAAGAACATGATACTCATTTGCAGTTGGTTCGTGAAGAAATTGAAAATTTCTATGAAACTAAGGTAACTTTTTAACTATTGTCCTCTTTATGTTTTAGCCGTTTTGCTCTTCATCAGGTGTATGTCGATCTGGATAACCAACAGGGAATTTCAAACTGAGCCCTTTCTTTAATCTACAGGGGTAAATTGAAATTTATTGCTTGCTTGGGGTGAAATGATTAAAAACAAATTTTATTATTAAAATATCAATTCTTGTTGCTGTATAACGTTTATATAGGCTCATTTTCCAATTGCATTTGTATCATCTTTGATATTCTTTGACCCCCAGATTGTCAAATTCACATAATTTAGATCCATTTAAAAAAATGTTCGTCAAAGAGTTCTGTTGTTAAAAAAAAAAAAAAAAAATTAATTTTATCCCATTAACTCTAACCAATTTCATTTTTGTCCTTTCAGTATTAATTATTTCACTCATTTCCAATTATAATTAATGCTGACCCCCCCCCCCCAAAAAAAATTGAAGTTTTCTTTTCTTTTTCTTTTTTTTTTCTTCTTTAATCTTTTTATTATACTGTTTTTAAATTTCTCACTTTTTTTTTTCCTTGTCAATTCTAGTTGTCCAGCCTCCAGACTCAACTTGAGAGAAACTCTAATTCTTCCAGTGTTATTCGTGAAGAATTGAAATCCGCAAAGAGGCGCATTGATGATCTTTTGGCCGAGATCAATAGCGTGAAAGCTCAGGTATGTCTACTTTTGCTCCTTCCTTTCTATTTATTTTTTTCTCTTTCTTTGCATTCTTTACACTTTTACCCACAATGTGGACATTAATGCTGACCTGTTTTGGAAAAATAAAAATATTCTGGTTTTTCTTAATTTATTAAATTAACTTTTATCAAATTTAACTTTGCTTAGTTTATGACAGACATGCATTCAGTCAAAAAAGTGCATTTCTTTCATAAAATAGTTTTGTTCTTAATTTAATATTACCTATAACTGAAAAATAAAAAGGTACATAAATTCAGTTTGACCATTCTAAGTGACATGAAATTGATTCCAACAGGCTTAGAAAAGCTGAAATTTACTTAACATGCAAAACTAATAACATTAATGACAAGTGTAGTAACAGTCAGAAGTAATTGGATGAGTACAATAAAAAAAAAAAAAAAAAAACTTTGTAAAGTTAATTATGATACAATTCAACTTAGTCGGAAGTTAGATAAACTAAATAAAAAAAGTTGGCTAGACAAACCATGTCAGTATTGTTTAATATTTCTTGTAGGAAAAATGAGTGCATGCCCAACACGAATTTCAATTTGGATACTCAAAAATTGAAAAATGCAATGAAAATTAGATCTTGCTGTTTGAATTTAATAAATCATGTTTATATTCTTGCTGCATATCACTTTAAATGTTATTTTTAGCGGATATCCATATTTCAGTAAATGCTCCATTTTACTTTATTTATTTTTGTCTACCAGCCTGAATATTTGAGAAATCTTATTAAAAACAAAATATGCACTATATGGCTGGATTCAAACTTGCATCCTCACTTTACAGGAGAAACCAAACATCACTCATACTTCTAATTGACTCATCAATCAAGGGAAGGAGGTGCATATTTTTCTATAATAAGAATTTTCCAATATTCAAACTAGTAGACGAAGATAAATATACTGTTTAAAATAAATGGTACACCTACTCAAATATAGCTATCCACTAAAAATTATTATTTCAAGTGATAAAAATCTGTCAGATTAATAAATTAAAAAATCTATTATTACTTTAGAAAATATATATATATGAAAGAGTGGAAATCAATGTTGCATGGTGACTCGGTTTCATGCATGCAATCTTGATTTCTATGCTTATATTGTTTATATGTACAAAAGCTCTGATGTTGAGCACTTGCCCATAAATATAGCAAATTTTCAATTGTGTGAGACTGATTGAGTCATCAGTAACAGAGGGATGATAACAGCACTTAACATTCATTGTCCTTTTCATTGTACAGAATGCCCAATACCAAAAACGCATTACTGACTTGGAGAATCAACTTGAACGCGATTCTGCTGAATTCCAAGCTCAACTTGCTGCCCGTGATGAAGAGATCAAACAGCTCCGTGAATCTTTGGCTGAGCTCACTGAAGAATCAGCTGAACTGTGGAGTATCAAGGTTAAACTTGATATGGAGATTGCTGCCTATAGGAAATTGTTGGAAGGAGAGGAGGAGAGGTGATGTTCATTTTTTTTTTTTTTTTTTTTTTTTTTTTTTTTTTCATTGGAGGAGCTATTAGGTGTAAAATGGATAAAAAAAAAATGTCCCTTTTAGGAATATAATGATGTTCCTAATTTTTACAGGACAAAGCTAAATATTACAAAGAAATCAAACATTAAATTGTACAGTTTGTCTAATAATATAAAAACAATATTTCTGTCTATATTTACAAAGTTCTATTGCCTTAAATACAGAATACTTTCATTCACACATTTTGTAATAAATTTACTTACTCATGTGTACTTGTTAGTGATATAAATAGTTGTAATGATGACACTTCAACATTAATATCTTTTAAAGATTGATCTCATCAAAATGGATAAGGGTTATTGATTTATATACAAGTCCAGTGGTTACTATTTTTGCTAATGATAGTCACACTATAATAGATTGGTCCACTCTTTAAAAAAAAACAAAAAAATAGGGAAACTTTTTTTTTTTTTTTTCTGTAGATTAAGATTTGAGTCAAGTTTGCTTTTGATTGTTCTTTTAATACAGTAGTAAGTAGTAGCCGTTATTTGTTGCCTTTCTTGGTTTTTTTTTTTATTTTTTTACTACATCAATTTTGGTATGCTTTTGAATATTTTCTATATAGGTGGGTGGGTGGAATTTTTTTTTTTTTCCCCTATATGAAAGTGGGTGATTAATGCCAAAAAGGTTAGGAATGCCTGATGTAACCTCTCACATTTTTTTTCTCCAAAGCTTAATGCAGTTCCCCTCACATATTTTCTATTAAAAAAAAAAAAAAAAAAATACTTTAAGAAAATAGATTGATTCTGTCTAATGGTTTTTGAAATTGTCTGAACTTTTACTAGTCTGCATAATAATTATTTTTAACTAGTAATTATATTTTGTGTTATTGTGATGATTTTTGTAGTTTAAGTAGAAATTTGATACACTATTTACATTATTAGGACTATTGTCCTCATCTTCATTGCCATTTTTACAATGTATCGCCTGTTGTACGCTCTGGACTTCTTCAGGTGGTTGGAATGTCGAACTGAACCCTTTATTTCTCTCACTGGGGTAAACTGTTCTAGTTCCATGTGGTATATCTAATGAATGTCAGTTATCAGTTATCTCCTGTTAATTCCCATCTCCAAGTTTTCCACCGCCTTAACCAGTTATTGAACTCACACTCTTTGGGTCCTGTCACTGGATCTAACACCTTTATCCACAGTGCCATGAGTCCTTGAAGAAGGCCGAAGTGTACAATGGCTGAAACATGGTGAAAAATATGGCAACAAAGATGAGTACAATAGTCCAAATAATGTAAATAGTGTACATAATACCTCATCTCAGACATATAGACAGATACTGAGAAATTTGATTTATAAAAATGGTTTGTTGCCACTTGTTTTTCCTGATACTTATTTTTCTTTGTGACATTCTTTTTAGGTTGAACTTGTCGGCCTCAGACACTACTCCTTCAAAATCTGTTTCTCGCAGCGTTCGGAGTTCCAAAAAACGAAAACTGGCTGCAGAGACAGCTGAAGAAACAAGATCTTCATCTTCTAACCAAGGTTATGCATCTAAAGCATTAAGTAAATCTTCTCTGAGCATTGAAGATGTTGATACTGATGGAAAATACATCAAAATATCAAATTCTGGTGACAAGGTGAGTGAACAAAAATCTACATGGAATTGCACTGAATTCAAAATACACTGACCTCATTAAATTTAAATTTTCTTCAAAGTGACATTGAAAGAATCAAGATACATTAATATTTGTTCTTATGCAAATTTTAATTTTACACCTTAAAAAAAACAAAAAAATCTTTGCATTTTAGCCATAGACTTTAAACTTGATGCTTTCTAATCAAACAATTAAAAAAATAAATTTTCGAAAAATATATATATATATGAAATATATATATATATATATATATATATATATATATATATATGTGGACCTCACTGAATTTTTGATACCTAAATTAATTTTTAAAACTGAAAAAGCGTTCTTGAAGATTTCATTTCAGCTTTAATTGAAAGGTAAATGATTAAATGTACTATTTCCAGTAAGTGAAATATTCTGGTGTATTTTGAATAGAAATTATAGATTGGAATTTCAACTTTTCAGCCAATTTAAGAAAATTTTCTTAAAAGCATTCATTTTCTTAATTCTAAGAAACTTGTAAACAAAACAAGATTATTGATTTTAAAAATTTTCCTAAAATAATATATTTGTGACACATTATTTAAGTAAAATTAGCAAATTTAAAGTTAAATTAATCTGATTTGAAACAAATATTACTTATAGCATAAAAAATATAGTATACAAGCATTTTTTAATAAAGGCTCTTTTTATCATGTCTTTATTGATGTTATCATATCACCTGTAAGTTATGAGGTGATGACAGCTAGTATAATTGACAAAAATTTACAAAATCTAAGAACGCATTTTTTTTTATTTTTAACTACCTAGTAGTTTTTACAAATTAACATAATATTTTCAGCAATTATCTAATATTTTATTGACTTTTATTTATATTTGAAGCTACTTTACAAAAAAATAATAAAATTTAAAATAACATAAATTCATGTGACCTTTTTTTAAAGATTATGCCATGTATAGGTTCCCATGGGTAAAAATTGGAAATGCTTAAACACTTTTTTTTTAAGTATTTGGTGACAAACAACTGTTATGTGCTTTTCAGTTTTTGATTTGGAAATGTACTCTTCACTTCAACAAACTGTTGGCTTGAAGCAATGCAGAATTTTAAACGATTTTTGAATATTATAAATTATTTAATTAAATATTTAAAAATGAAAACAATTATGTAAAAATTAATTATTTATCAAAGCAATTAAAAGATTTTTTAATTAAATAATGTCATAGTTTTATTGCATTTATTATTTTACAATTCAGAGCAGATTTTTGGTGAATGGGTTAAATGTCTTACAAAAAAAATTGATTTACTCTCTCCAATGAGTCTTGCTTATAACTAATAAAAAAAAAAAAAAATAATCCCTGCCTTTAAAATATAATTCCTTGAAATTTTATGAAAATGGGTGGTAACATGTAAAAAAAATTCAAAAAAATTTAATTGATTTCTGAATATGCCCTAAAAGTTTCATTAAGATCCCACAATTATTTGATTTTTTTGAAAGCATTTCCAAATCATTGTGTTTTTTTCGCCGGAAAAAGCACAAAAATAAAAAAATAACCTTTATCTTTGATTCGCTGCTGATGTAAAGAAAAAAAAAAAAGATTTAACAAAAATTTTGAACATAGGGTTTAAAACATTTCAAAAAATAATAAAAACTACTTTGATCTTTCTTCTTAATAATAACATAAACATTTTAATGACAAAACTTTGTTTTTATTGAGTTTGGGGCCTTTTTCATCTTGCTATGCTGTTTTTTACATGACCAAATGGAGGTACATACATACATTTCAGTCACTTAGAGCAATTCACTTGTGTAGTTCAGAGATTCTAAGTTTTATATTTTACAATCTACTATATCAAGAATACTATAACAATCAGAATTCAATACAAATTACTGTCCCATAATAATTATTAATTTAGTGTGTGGAATGTGTATGCAACTATAACAATCATTACATGACAAAGAGTCTTTCCAAGAGACCATAAGTACTTGGGAAGTAATGCACACACTAGACTGTCATTCATTGGCAGATTTGAATTTTGTTACAGTCGTATAAAAAGGAACAATTTAGAAGAGAAAATTGAAGGAAAGAATAAGAATCCAAAAAAATGGAATGTGTTTCACACTTCATTCATCAGAGATGAGGTAAATGAATTTTATCCACTATACCAGTGCTTCCCAACCTTTTTCAACCTGTGCCTCTTTGGATACAAAGTCCTCCCCCCCTCAAATCAAATTGTGGATATTACTGTGAAATCATCTTTCATTGCAAAATAACAGTTAGCTATTAATGCAAAAATAAATTTAATATTCTTTACATTTCTATTATAAATGTCATTGATTAAAATACTTAAAACCTTTATGTGATAGCTTATCTCAATGTTTTCATTGCAATGGTTGACTTTGCTGCTTACTGACTTAGGCTCTTACTCTAGGTTCCATGTTGCTTAGAAGTTGTAAGAATCTTAGATCTCCTCATTTTGTAATTTGCAGTAAGAAGCTGTGTAACTGCATTGAAACCACATTCAGCCACATAGGAAGTTAGAAAAGCAATGAAGAAAAGTTTGATAACTTTAGATACCTTTCAAGAAATTTCCTTTTGTACCCAATATTGAATAAATTTAAAAAAAAAAATGTATATATTATATATGTATATACTTCAATAATAACAAATATTGAGCCTATGATTTATCAAAGTTGCCCACAGCTAAAAATTAGTTCAGTTTCTAAATGATTGTCAGTTTGACCAAAATTCACATACAAATACTTTTAATTATAATATGCAAATAGGAGTTAGTCTCTGCTTGAAGGAATTAAATGATTTATTATTACTATTAATCAACACCAGTAAAATGTCGCACATGTCAGATATGTACTTAACCACATTAACATTAAAAAGATATTATTTTTACTTAATATTTTATGAACCATTGTTTGGTTACAGGCTCATTTTTGGTGTGTTCACTTCAAAATTGAGTTCTTGGTAACCGGAAAAATTTTTTTCTAAGGGAGATAACTCTGAAGCATTATTATTAAATAGTAATAGTAACTTTTTTGTCCTGATATTTTTATAAGATTGTTCATTGTGTCTATTATAATTTGTATGTGATGATCAAGTTTGCTTATTTCATAAATAAAATTTGAAAGATTTTTAGATTTTTATAGGTTAATAAATTAGCAAATCTGAATATTGTTGTTCTATTTACAGGAAATTTCCATTGGTGGCTGGCAACTCAAGCATGATGCTGGAGAGGATGAAACTGTTTTCAAGTTCCATCGTCAAGCCGTTTTGAAACCTGGTGCATCAGTAACAGTAGGTTCCCCCCCCCCTCTGTCTCTCTTCCAAATAAATTGCATTAGTTTTAGAATTAATGACTATATTAATAATTTCATTGCCCAAAGTCATACTATTCAGGTTGTAAAAATACAAAATATTGTATTTGAAAAACATTTCCCTATACTATAAAGCTTTTATTTATGTGATTATTTTTTTTTTTTGTTTAATGTTTCAAATAAGTTAGATTTTTTTTTTTTTTAAATCGGAAAAGGGTTGCCAAATGTTAATTTTTGTATACATGTGTCTGTCATATATTCACTGAGCTTTATGCTCCATAAAGTTATTTATTCTTTGTTTTAATATTAAAAGCATGTTAGATATCAATAGCTCATATTTTATCTCCTTTAAAAAATATATTATTTCTGCTTATACATATTTGTAATAGATTTTGAAAGTTTGTAGACTATCAAGTGTTTTTGTTGTAGGTCTGGAGTGCTGAAAGTGATCAAACACACAACCCTCCAACTGATTTGGTGATGAAATCTCAAAAGTGGTTTGTATCAGACTCTATGAAAACCACATTACTGAATACCGGTGGAGAGGTATGACCTACACTTGAATTTTTGTTTATTTTTTATTTTTTTTAATGTGAAATTTTGTTCAAAAGACTTAAAGAACACACACACACACACACACACACACACACACACACACACGCAGATCTATTGAAAGAATTGTTCCATTTTCATTTAAAGTGTTTTTTTTTTTTTTTTATCTAATGACATTAAAAACATTCATTATTAAGTTTGTTTAAAATATTTAAAACTTTAACTTCAATCTATTAGAGATGAAACAATTAACTAGACCATAGATATTTACAGTTTGGTAATTTTGAGAAAGGAGGGCCTGGAGAATCTGATACTCACTGGTTGAATAAAGGGAAAGAAAGACAAGGGAAAACATGTGATATACCTGGGGGAGGAAGCAGAGGGAAGGAACTTGTTGAGAGCTGCAAGGAATAGAGGGAGATGGAGAGCCATGATCGACCATGTCCTGAAAGGACATGGCACATAAAAAGGAAGAATTTATCATTACATAACATTTCCTTAATTGTTTTTAGCTTGTTCAAAATCAGCTTTTTTTTTTCTCTTGTAAGTGGAAGAGGGGACAAATTTTTGTTTTTAAAAATAAATTAAGTAACCTTGTTTAAAACTTTATTTACTATTTTACATTGAATAAGCAGACATAAGCAGTCTGTGTTGACATTTTAAGAATAATGATAATAATCATCTAATCATTTCTAAATTAATAGATAACAAAATCTTTATTGAAATATGTTCATTACTGAATTTTTAATTTAAAAAAAGTTTTTGCGCAAAATCACCAGTGCCAAAAACAGTACTCATTAAATTGGTTTGCTCACAATATAAAACAAGTTTTCATATAACTTAAAAAAAATAATTAAAAAAAAAGAAAGAAAAAAAAGGTGGTTGTGGGGAAAATTTTCTCTAATGACAAATATTGTGATTATGAAATTATAATTTTGTGGATGTGTTTTATGATACAATCAGTAATTTATATATTGCAATATTTGTTATTGGTCACTTAGGTTTCATTAAAACCAATTAACGATTGCCTTTTAATGCTTACTCATGTAAGTGCAACATAGCAATTTCTAATGCTTTTGAAACTGATTTCACACCAGAAAAACACAAAGGGTCACAGTATAAATTAAAGCTTTAGAATTTCCAATTTATACTGAGAATGGATCTACACAAACTAATTAAAAAAACTGTTTGTCAGGCAAAGATGAGATATACTGACAACACAACAAATATTGCTATGCACGTCAAAAGACATCACCCAATGTAGAAACTTGGCACACAAAAATCAGAAAGACAGTATTCAACAAGATGATTCATCCACAATCAGAAGTCCAGCAACAGATCAGTTGCAGCTTTTTGATGCTTCTTAAGACAAAACTGGTGCCTACATCACACTGTACAATTTGGCATATTGGTGTGTTCATTGAGTTTGACATTAGTTTTGAGGTTAAATGCGCTATTGCACATTTAAACTGTTAAAATGCTGAGAGTTGCAACTTATCATTTTTGTAATCACCAATAAAACAAAAATATTTAATCTTTTTGAATTAGACCTCAAAAACAAATTTCTCTGGCAATTCTGTAAATAAATCTTGTGACAAAAATGTATCATTACAAACCTACTATTAAATTTATGTGTAATATTTTTAAGTAAAACCTGTCAAATATTATTAAAAATTTAATGCCTAAATCTTTTTGTTTTCAGGAAATGGCTTCTCGTGAAATGTCCAAGTCTGTCCTCCGAAGTGTGGAAAGCTTCAGGAGCAGTTTATCTCGGGATGATGGAACTGAAAGTCCTGTAAGTTTGCAATAAATAAATTTAATATTTCTCCTTTTATTCCTTAAAAGTGCAGGAATATGGATACGTTTAACTTCCTAGTTTTCTCACTTCTTAAAATGGCTAGAAAAAAAAAGTACTTACATATAGAAATTACCAACATGTTATGGCATCTTTTTATCCAGATCATTCCCAAAACATGTTTGAAAATACCTTGTAATTCAGCATTGTGTTTGGATATTTACACAAATTAGAAATTACTTAAAATATTTTGATGGGAAATGCTTTTGAATTTAGGCTTGAGATAAAGTTAAATTTAATGATGAAAAATCATTTATTTTATAAAACTAATATTTTCAGCATAATCACCTTCCACATCACTTAATTCTGGGATAGATAAATTGAACATTATAACTGAACATTTGGGGCAAAACTTCAGCTAATGGCTGAGTTTGAGGATTTATGGACCAATCCTTATAAATGAAGTCCTTGCAAATGTTGCTGAGGTGTTAAAACATTTTCATATAAATTTCTTTGACATAAGTAAATAAAAACATTTGTTGGGGGGGGGGGGATTCATAATGTGAAACTCCCCCCCCCCCTTAAAATAGCATTGTGGTTAAAAAGTGCTATGATGTATCTTAGCTTACCATTTCTGTTATTCTATCAGTGTGGCTGATTTTTATATCATCTTAGAAATATTTAATATATATTGTATTAGGTTACAAAACCTGCTCTATTTAAGGTAAGTTCTCGAAAAATTATCCTGCAGAAAATTTATTAACTCTTACCAGAATTTTTCTTGTTCAGGTTTGCAGTTTTATTTTATCTTAAATGAAATTCCAATTTATTTAAGCCTCTTTACCTGTGTTTCCAAAATATTTCATTTAAGATAAAATATTTTTTCTCTTAATATTTGTATTTTTGTTCATTCTAATTTTATTTTTACTTAATTTTTTTTTTATTAGTAATCAATCAAGTTTGAATGTTGTCACCAACTTTAAGTTATTCTTTTTCCTTGATGCGTGTTTTTGTTATATTTATCTCTAACCAACATGTTTGATAACCTGATTATTTTATCTATGTTAAGTTCCGTCACACATGAATGCAATGGAAAAGCAAAAAAAACAAAAACAAAAAACCTTATGGTATACATCTTGGTAAACCCTTACCAATCTCAATGTAAAGGCAGTTAACTTACTGTTGACATTTGTTTACATTTTAAATCTGTTTTGTTTTTCCAGGAACGGGAACGAATTACATATTCCCGTCGTCATCTTGTACGTATCTAACACAGCTTTGAGGAAGATGTGGCACATTCTCAGTTGAATTTCTTCTTTGCATTTGATGAAAATGTTAGTCATAAACTTATAAATCTAAGGATAAATTCAGTAAAAACAATACATGTCTTCAAAAAGCCAATTCATAAAAAACTTTCTGGATTCATGAAAATTAAGACTGACGAGCCAAAACATTATGATTACTTGCCAAATAAGGTGTTGGTCTTTCATGTGCTCACAACACTAACCTGATCTGGCATGAACTCTACAATACCTAAAAGTTTAGAACTAGTGTCAGCATGTTAGCAATTGGTTCTTCAAGTACTCAGTGGGATTCAGTGGAGGTTTGTTAACCAGGGTAACACAGTTTTCCACTACAATGTGTTCAGAGTGGTAGGATGTATTGTTCTTCAGGATTGCTTTAATCATGAAGATGCATAAATGGTCTTTACTAATATTAAGGTCAGTGGTATATAATAAAGTACTTTATACATAAATGATAGGATCCTGTATTTCCTTGCACAAATTATCACCACTCCTCCACCAGCTACTTTTTCATTCAGTGCATCCTAATTTCATTGCTTCTCTAGAATAACACTGCATATGTACTTTGTCGTTGACTATCTGCAAAAGAAAATCTCCTAAGACAACAAACTTTTTCTACGTTCTAATGCGTGAATTTCTGTTGATGCTTTTGACAATGGACATTGGTAAGCATGGGTACTTAGACTGGCTTACAGTTCATATGCAGCAAAGATTGATGTACTGTGTGTTGTGACTCATTCTTTTCTTTACCATGTCTAAAGCGCTCTTAACTTTTGCCACAGTAGTCCTCCTGTTGGTTCATACTTGGCGGGAAAACCTCTGCTCATTTCTTGTCCAAACAATGCCTTCTTAAGTTACTGGTCCACACCCATCTTCTTGGACCACTGTATATAGATATTTATTACAGGTCTGATCACCTCCATAGATTGTTTTGAAAATGCTCTGACCTGAATTTCTGGTCATAACAATTTGACCTTTTATTAAAGTCATTTAAATTTATCTTATTACCTATAACAAAACAAAGTATTTGAGAATAACATAGCTGCTTTTATAACTTGTACAGAAAAGATATGTCATTTTTGCCACATGTTGCTGGTCATAATGTTTTGTCTCCTCAGTGTGTGTTTAAAAGGAACAGAAGTGTATCTAGTTCCTCATCAAATCTTGATTTCATTAATTTAATTTACTTTTTAAAATTTGTTTTGAAATTTGATTGAAATGCAAGAAGAAATTTTGATGTGCCCTTCTCGATGGAAGGTGAATTAAATAATTCAATATTGTTTATGGTGAGGTGTGCTTGCTTTGATTAGGGTTAGGTTCATATTAATCTGGATTTGAAAAAAAATTACTCATTCTCTTAACATTGTAATTCTTTTTTCTTTCTTTCTATCAATGAAAGGGAAATCTTAAGGTTACAATGGTGAAGAGATGAACAGCTTGCTGCTAAGACTGCATCTTTTTTTTTTTTTTTTTTCTGCATCTGCAAAATGGAATGATGAAATTCAATCCTTTACATGTTTTTATGCCTTTTATTTCTGACAACTTTGTCATAGACACTAAATAAATGCAGCCACTATTAATATACTTTAGCATTATAAATATTTCATGTATCTGGTATAGTTTTTGATAAAAGTTTTTTATAAAATTTTATCACTAGTATTAAACAAAATTTTGATATACTTTTCCTGATGGTATTATTTTCATTTTATTTTTATTAGATGAAGCATTGCCATCCATTTATTAATTTTTGGATAGGATTTACATTTTTTTTATCACCTCTTTGCTTAGGGTGTCAGTCTATCATAGTGAGTCAACGGTACAAGATTGAAAATGAAGGATAATTTATGTTAGATTTGAATTCATAACTTTTTCTTTGGGGAGCTTAGCTCGCCTTTTTTTTTTTTTTTTTTTTTTTTTTTTTTTTTTAATGGCTGAGTGTGCTTCATCTAACAAAAAATGAATATGAAAGTAAAATATCATCAGTGCTGTTTCGACTTGAAGGCATACTGGTAATTAGTGTGGCCTCTCATCTTCAGTATGGCTGCTTGTTTCCAGGCATGTCCTTTTTTATTTGTTTCTTTAATAGTCATGGAGCTAACTTGTGGTTTATTCTGTAATTGTGTTGATGAAAGACTGTTAGCATGTTTGTGAGCCATTCTCACACCCAGCAATACAGTCTTAGCTTCCCAATGTATAGCCAAGTTTACCCTCTTTATAATAGTCCCTGTCAACATTCATTTTGGCGGGGCATCGTCAATTTGATTTTCCCAACTTTTCATCACTGTGCTTGCTCTTCACTTGATGACACCACCTACTATTGCAGCCATGCACAGACAGGGAAGTTTGTCGCAAAAAGAGAATACCTTCCTCCTGTAATGGACTACAGGAACTCAAACCCCATGTTGATGTGTACACTACAAATGCAGAAGAGAATGGAGACATAAAGGATTGATTGTTGCTCTTCTAGATCTTATATTGGCCTATCTGCAGGTGTGCATCAATGAACGACTTTGGTTATACCAAACTGTTATCTTTCAAAGCAGAAGGTACTGCCTGACCAAATTGGAATTTGGGTTGAATGTTGCCCCCCCAAATAATGAGAATCAGAGGCAACTTCAGTATACATTGATAACCTGTACTTAAATGAGGATATCGCGTTTGTAACTAGTGTTGCTAAACGGCCAAAAGATGGCGCTCAGATACTTGGCTTAACTATGGAGGGAAAGACAATGCTCTGCTTTGGAAGCATAGGAATGTGTTTCCTAAAGTCTCAGAGGTGGTCACCAGGAGGAAGGTATTCTCTTTTTGTGGCAAGCTTATTAGGCACTTTCCAGTCTGGATAGCTTTGAGTAGTGGCTAGTATCATCAAGTGAAGATCAAGCACAATGATGAAAGATTGGGATGATCGAACAGATGATGACCCACTAAAAAGGATGCTGACAGATACTATTACAAGGGTGGGGCAAAGTGACCCATATAGAGGTGTCTTCAATAACGGACACAGACGATTCAAGCAAGACCCTAGTGGCCAAAGAACTTGTATCAAGCAGTAGTGGGATCACATTGAAATAACTTATAGCCGAGTTACTTGAAAAGACATTGCCAATGCAACAGTAGTGAATTGCGATAACCTGGCTACACCGATTTTCGGTCACATGAGACATCACCCAGTCTCCCATCCAAAGCACAGATCTTATATCACTTACGCCAAGGAGACAGGTTGTGTCCACTACAATGATGCAAATTCTAATGATCAACTTGTATCTGAAACTGAATACAAAATAACTTTTAGAAACCAGCATCTCTAATAATGGATTAAAAAAAGTAAAGCAAACTTCCTCCAATTAACCTGTACCCAAAATTGTCACTGATCCACATAGAGCATCCAGCTATACCCAAAACAACTGATTCAAGAACTTTATCTGGCCATAAATAACCCTTAGTAGTTGATGGGCTGTTAAGCAGAACTAAAGTGAATCTAAACCAATTGATATGCCGCTAAACCAATCAAATCAAAATGAATAGTAATGTTTGGTAATGTTTAATCTCATGGAAAATAAAATACAAATTTTGACAAAGATCATGGAATGAAGTAATGCTCTTCTAGATTGTATTTGATCTTAAAAACAATTTAAATTATCTAAGATTGATCAGTGAAATCAACTGATTCATTTATCCCCCTTTCCTGCACAAAAGGGATGTTGGTTTGAACTTAACCAAGAGTTTTCATTTATTTTCAAACCATGCTGTTTACTCATTGTCATAGATTTGATGGCCTAAATAAAGTCCTGATAAAAAAGATACTAAAAATAAACATGGTATACTGGTATATTTTATCAAGTTTAGCAAATTTTAATGTTTTATTGGTTCTTAAAAATTAACATAAATGTGCTGGGGATGTTAAAATTACCATGATAATAAAAAATTCTTGTGTTAATTCTGCATATTTAGTCATATTTTAAAAAATAACTGAAATTCTTTTAATATAGAATAAAAATTTTATTCAATGCTGATTTCCTTAATAGAATTTGATGTGCATTGCAATATTTGAGCAAATGCCCTTTTAAAATTTGCCTGTTAAACTTTACACAATTTAGTAAACAATAAAAATAAAGAGAATCCCAGAATTAGTCATTTTAGATAGTGTTTCTTAGTTTGAGTACATTAGTATTAAAACTTGTAGCTGATACTAATATCACCGATGTAATGAGATTTGTTGTGACAGTTAATAACAAATTTAATGCAGTAATTGTAGGTGTAAATTTCATGCTAGTCACAAAACTGCCTGTTCAAGTGTTGACTTTTTACAGGTGAAAAGAGATGACTGCAGGTTGAATTTAATTATGTTGCTAAAAGTTTTGATATCCTGAGCAATATCTTCAGATCTTCACTTTCGTGGACTTTTTTTTTTTTTAAACTATGATTCTTCTGGACATAGGCAATCATGGCTCTACACAGCTTCCTTCCTAAACTGCATTGCCATGATTGTTCTTGTGAAGTGGGAATAAAAGTAGTTTCTCATTGCCACAGTTTAAAATGCAGTTGACCTTCTCTAAACATAGTAAAAATTCAGTGTTTTTTTACAGTATCCTGTAAAGTATTAATTTTCATCAATTCATATTCTTTGCTTTCAAAAAAAAAAAAAAAAAAATTCCTGAATGTTAAATTGGCTACTCTCGCAGCCCTAACCTAGTTGTAGCACAATCACCATCATCCATCGTATTCTTTTTTCTTTTCTTTGTTGTTCTGCTATTGCTGCTGCCCACTGTTCTGCATGTTACAATGCATGAACAGATAAAGCAACTATCAAGTCTCTTTTCTTTTTTTTTTTTTTTTTTTTTTCTCCTTTCTTAAATGGTGATCTGTTGAAAGCTCACAATGACTTTCTATTTATTCGTTGTAAATTTGTCTCTTTGCAAATCATTAACTTAACAAATTCCACAAATCATCACATA